AAAATTACCTAAAGCCATTTATCAAGTTTTCTGTCCTCTCATTCCATCCAGAAATAGACAGATTGTCCCAGGATAGAACAGGCTTCAGGGCTTTGTCTTGATGGCACATAACAACCACAGCAACAGCCAGGAATACAATTTACTGTGTAAACAAAAAATACAACAAAATATTACTGTGTTGTTGTTATATGCCATCCAGTCACCTGTGGCTCAAGGCGACCTTCTGTACAACAGCCCTAAACCCTGTTCTGGCTTTGTCAATCTTATTGTATCTGACACACCTATCCCCATTACCCCAGTCACCGAATCAATCCATTTCATTGAAGGTCTTCCTCTCCTACACTGTCAAGCACAACCTCCGTCTCCAAGGACTGATCCTGCCTTGCAGTTTGTTCAAAGTATGTCAGAAGAAGCTTCAGAATATTTGCCTCCAAGGAGCAGCCTGGCTTCACCCTCTTCAGGATGAACTTGTTTGTTCTCCTAGCAGTCCATGGTATATTCAATTCTCTTCTCCAGCACTGCAGTTCAAAGACATCAATTCTCCTATCATCCCTAGTCATTGTCCAGCCCTCTGATGTATAGCAAGTGACTACAAAGATCATGGCCTATACCAGGCACACCTTAATCTCCAGACTGACATCGTTGCTTCTCAGTACCTTGGAGAGGTCTCTGACAGCAGACTTTCCCAAGGCAATTCTTCTTTTAATTTCCTGGCTACTGGTAAAATATTATTATGATTTTAAAAGAACTTAATAAAATAAATAGAGCTTTGTGATGGATTTGCCATAAAGAGAGAGCAAGATAAATGAGTCAAACTTGACTCTGTGATTTCTGATTATTCCTAAATAGATGAGATGTGCCTGTTTCATGAGAAAACTCATGATAAAAGAATGGAAAACACCTTCTGACAATGTGAGCCATGGGAGTAGTTCAGGGATCTGTGTCTTAGGATCCTTCCGCATAGTGCCCTCTTCCAAATACTCCTTTCTATCTAACTTTGTTCTGTTCTGCAAGAGTTGCTTCCAAGAATCACCAGGCAAGCTACCCCAGAAGCCTGAAAGGCTTGTGAAACAAATTAAGATACTCAAATCACATGGCTTATTAAATCAATTAATAGCCCACAGTAAGGAATGAAGGAAAAGTCTCCTAAGCTGCAGTGTGAAAACATACTTGTTTAGCTGAATTCTCACAAGTTCTTTGTTTACTCATTATCTATGTTTAACATGTATTTTGTGCTTATCTCATTAAATGTACTTACTACTTATATTAAACACCTCTCCTGGATCTTATACCATCTTGCTTATTTCTCTTGTCTTCTATAATAAAAGAGTATATTCTTGAGAAAAGAGAAGACACCTTCTATGTGTTATGAAGAAAGAGGTTTTGAGTTGTATGACACATCCAGTGCAAAGCCTGGCTCCTGTGTTGTTGCTGGGTTGACTCTGACTCTCACAGACCCCCTGTCCAACAGATGGAAATCGTCTCAGTCCTGTGTCCACCACCCTTTCAGTCTCCATGGCACTTAAGCGCAGAGTGTCCAGTTTACAAAAGACAGTAAAATATCGGGATTTATAACTCTCTAGAACTGTGATGGTACAATCTTTTGCCAGCCACTAAAGAAAGAACAGATTTAAAAAATCAGATAAAAAAGCACATTAAAGAAACTGAGGGCATGGCTTCCTCTCAATTAGGAGATCATATAGGAAGTTTAGGAATATTGGCACTTAGGAAAAAAAGATGCATAGAAACAGTCAGTCAAAAGGGTTAAGGAACCATGTAACCCACAACCCCCCAGAGGGTGCTTGGAAGAAAGAACTGGTGACCTATTTCCAGAAAATTAGACACGGAAAACCCTATGAAATACATTTCTCTCTGACATATATGCAGTCACTTGGAATCAGAGTCAACGTGACAGCAACTGGTATATTGATGGAAGCAGCATTCAAGTCACAACACTAAATAGTAGGAACCACTTGTTTATGAGCTTTATTCTCCCTAAGACCTACTATAAATGGAGCTCTGGGTGCTTACTGGTAAAAAGCTGTGCTGTAATTCTGAAGGCACGCAGTTCTATTCCACCAACTGCTCTGCAGGAGAAGGATGGACAATATCCTCCCAGGTGATTAACTGTCTCTGAAAAGCGGCCAGAGGGTCAGGCAGGGTCAATTCCAACTTGATAGTACACAACAGCAACAATCTAGTATTAGAGTTGACACACATAGATGGTACAGGCACATTAATGGGTTTGATTTGACTTCAGCTTGATAGAAACCGTTTTCTATCACAAGATGACAGGTTTGGACTTGTGGCATGGTCTGGATTTACATTCATAACAAGAAAGCAAGTCTAGTTCTTTTTGGAGGGGTTATTTGTCCTCCTGATTTCTGAGCCTTGGGGCTGTGGTATATTTTTTAACTTGATCATGAGAATAATTCTGATCAATGTTCTTCCTTAAAGCATGGATATGTGAAGTTGTGCACCACTAACATTTTAAAAAGAATTTTACAGAACAGGAATGCAATTTTGACCCTAAAAATTTTTTTTAATTTAGTGGTATATGAAGGTATTCTATGGTTATTACATAAATAAAACAGAATGTGCATAGTATCCTTCGCAGAGCTTTCTCTAGTCAAGAAACACCATGCTGGGCTGGCTGGCATCAAGGATGAATTTGTCTCTAGTCATGGTCGAGAGACCCTCCTGAAAGCAGGGGATCTTCTTTGGTACAAGGATGCACTCACCAGTGACTCGGTGTTTTAGGTAACAAGTGAACAAAAAGCTGATCCTGTATCTAGGAGATAAAAATATTTAGGATCTTTTGTGTAACACAATGTGAAAACTCTCATTGGTTCACAGTGCTCTATCCTTTCTTCTTATTTCATCGTGTGTTATATTGCTCCTTAATTTATAGTGAGAGTGGAGGCATTGCAATGTTTAAAATTCATTAGCTCATATTTCTAGTGTATGTCAGACGAGATGCTTGTATACTGCATGTCTTTGGTTATTTAAATAAATTTACAGAGGATTTTACAAGAAGAGTTGAAATGTAGTACTAGATGTAGGCCTGAGTCACCAGGAAGTATGTAGTTTATGTTGTAGTCTTAATGATTTTGTGACGTATGGGAAATTCTTGCCTATAATTCCCAATTGTTTGCTCTAATTTACTTTAGGGTTCGCAGAACCAGATATCTGAGCAAAACAGAATAAAGCTTACTGACACCAAAGTATACTAAACAGTACAGTAATAATTTCACTAAATCACTAGTTAATAAATGCTTGTAGAATGTGAAACTAGCTGTTGTTTAAAACGAAAAGTACTCATGTGCCTCATTTTTTTTTGCAAAAAATTAGTGTATTATTTGTTTGTGAATCAATTAGACCCTCCAAGTCCCATATCCCCTGGTATTTTTATAAGTGTATTATGAGATATATGTAATATAT